AAGTGGCACCAGATGGTAAGGGGGTAGCAGCTTTCTGAAAATCAAAGGTGACAGTTTTGCATGACTAAAACACTTAGTGAAATTTCTAGCCTGCACTTCTCCCACAGATGCAGACTATTCCAATTGCTGGAGTGTTGTGGGCAAAGTGAACCCAGAGATCTGTGGGTGACAGCCTCTGGCTTCCGCCTGAAAGAGAGAAAACAAAGCAACCCTGTGGACACCATCAGTTTTCTGTACTGAAATAATTTGAGGAAATTCCTCCATTAGGGGCAATTGCACACAATTAGCTCGGAATCACTGGGATTTGTTCCAGTGGAATTGATTCCCAATAGGCCCCACTGCTCATCAGCACTGGGCACAGTGGGCAGAGGGAGTCCTGCCAATAATGCATGTGCAGAGATCTCTCCATACACACTCATCCCTGTCCCTGCCCATTCCTGTGCACCCCTTGCAAAGAATTCTGTATGTTTGAAACCAGCTCTGCTGCAGGTTGAGCAGCAAAAGGGATTGAATTTCCTTTCCATTCAAGGGCAGTTACAAATTGATATGGCCTGTTGGTCACCAACTGTACCTGAAGGAGCCACTCACTGCTGAACACCTCAGCAAGGATGCTCCAAAACTCCTCCTGACCACCCACACCCCTCCATCTAGACTTGGCTATGCTGTGGAATGATTCCTGGCCCTGCTCCATCCCCACCTCCTACATGGACATCACCACTTCCCACCAGCTAAGATGGTTGAGGGTCATTGTCCTCTTCCTCCAATGGACCAGCCCTGTCCCTGTTCTGCACACTGCATCCCCCACCTGCAACACTGCCCTGTGCCCCTCCAGCTGGGAAACACTGGACACAGAGTGGTCACTCCACCCCTGCCTCAACTGTTGCACTCACAGAGAGCTAATGATCCTATGTTTTTTTCCAGAAAACAGGCTTTGGAAACATAATCCTGAAAAGGTGTCCCTCAGCAGCAGAAATGTGCCTACTGCTTTGCTGCCTGCCTGCTTATATATCCTCCCACTTCATAAAATATAGAACTGTGACTGCACTGGTGTCTGTCAAGATTATGTGATTACACTAACTACCTAATAAATGTATTTTTTTTACATAACAGCTAAGCAGATGCTTCACACCACAGCAAGCACTCAGCAGAGAAGAGGACCTTAACATCAACACAGGTTAGAACCAGAGTACAATGGAAAAACATCTCACAATTTGTGCAACCCAGCCAGTTTCAACAGAAATTAATTCTGGCCCATAAGACAGAGAGAATTTGTGAAATTATTAGCAGAGACAAGGGAGAGGAGGCACAAAAAGAGAAAGAGGAACAAACACCAGTGCTGACTAAACTGGGCAGGAAAGCTGAGACAGAGCACAGATGTGTTTTCAAGGGCGCTGAGAGTTCTCCAGCAGCACTCCTTGCCTTTTCCCCCAGCGAGCTGCTATCTGCAGGGAAAAACATAACATAACAAAGCAGGCATAAGTGTACAGCTCCTATTCAGTGCCAAAGCTGGTTATCAGCAACGAGGCCCCACATCCCACTGAGTACTTGTAAATTTACTGTCAGCTTGTTGTGATGTGCAGATAGGTTCATTGTGTGGTTATCTCTGTGGTAAAGACTGCCAGGGATTTGGGGGCTTTATGGTATTGACTAAGGCCATGAAAATAAAATAAAAATAAAAGGCTTGGGACTGAAAATATTAACCCTTTATTAACCAAAGGGACCACTTTTTCTTCCTGAGTTGGTTCTAGTGCAGAAGAAAAACAACATGATCCATTAAGAGGACTTAATTTAAGTAATGCACCCAAAGGCCTGAGCCTGGGACATGGTGGGGACCTGGATGCTTGGCAGCCAGGATGGTGAGATTTTTTAACACATGCCATTGGCAGTGGCTGTGCAATGAATAGGTTCAGTGCCACAGTGATGCAAACCTGCAGCAGATGCGGCTTCCTCACTGTCCAAGCATGCCTGTTCCTTAGTTCAAAAGCACTAGAGGTAATAAATGAGAGACAGAGGCATTAAATGCTACAAAACTCATCCTAAAGACCCAATGGTTCATAAGAGACCCACTACTTTCTCTGTTCCTTCCCTCATTCAGGAGCACTGAGGGATCCAGCAGTGAAGTGAAGCTCTGAAACCCCTATACCAGGCCAGGCTTGGGCAGTCCCTGAGCCCCTGAGCCAATCTGCCTTCTCCAGGGTTCCCAGCCACCTATAGCTGCTCCTATCTCCACCTCACAGCATGGGGAAATGCTAAAATAGGACCATGGGGTGGAAGACATGACGTGCAAACAGGGACATCCCAGTATATCTTCAAAATGGAAAATGAGACTTTACTTAGCTTCAGAAGGAGTGTTTGCATATAATTTAGAAGGAAAGAGGAGAAAACATTGAAATATATTCTTCGAACAAGCAGGAATTGCTTACAATTCTCCCAGACTAACAACACCCTCTGGAAAAACATCCACAGTATTTCCCCTCAGAGTAGTAATTTTAATTAAATAGATAGATGACATCCTAATAAAAAAATATATGTTAAAATACAATGGAGACTATCATATGACATGGATATTTGCAAATAGTATGATCCCAAAAGCCTCTGAAGGAGGATATGCACCAAAGTTGAGGGATGGTTATAGAAACAGTCTCTTTGTAGAAACAATCCTTTATCTCCATACTCTTTCCTAGGAAAAGAAGTACCATTCAAAAGAGTAAAGCTTGAAGAACTCTACCTTAGTTATTAAGGAAGTTGTCTTTAATGTCTAGATTTGCATTTCATTTCAGCATTTTTGTAGTACTAGCAGAAGCTCTTTGATAGTGGAATTAGATAGTGTGTTAGAGCAATGACAGCTCTCTCTGAAAACACCTCCCTGAGAAGCATCTGGACACTGGGGAAAAAAAAAAAAAAAAAAAAAAAAAGGTATTACAAAAAAGGCAGGGAAAAACATTATTTTCCTATTGATCTGAAGTTAATGGTCTGCCACAGGGGGTTACAGCTTTTCAGGTGCCTGCAGTCACATATGCAGCTCTACCTTTGTAAGTCTGGATACTTAATCAACTGGGAAAATATTATCTGCCAGCCACAGAAAATGAATGTAAAACTTCTACAGAGCAGTCCATGTATAAAATCTAGCCACTAAACAAAATAAAAATGCCTAGCAGAAGAAACTGAAAATTCAGGTGAATTGGAAGAATGACATCTCAGAATTACAAAGTCCTGTACAGGGAATGTAGGATGAGGGCTGTGCTTCAGCATGTGTGAAGGAGCAGGATTGTTTGGGCAATTGGGCAGGGGCATCCACAGCTTGGTAACAGGGGACACCTACAGCAACTCTAACCATGTCAAGCCCTCCAGTCTTCAAACAGGGAATGAACACTTCCAGCTCTCACCAGAAGATCTGATGCAGAAAATCTCTTTGGGGACTGTCTGCTTGAAAGCAAAACACTATCAGTCCTGCCACTCCAGTGGAAGGTTAATAACCCATTTACAAACCTTTTCTGCTCCAAGGAAGGAAAACAGCACATAAAGGCCAACTTGCTTAAACAATCCTTACAGTGGTGCAGAAAGTGATAACACAGGCAAGTGGAATCTAACAGCTCATGACTGGGGCAAACAAGATCTTTTCCTATTCTTTTTCCAAATTTCTCAAGAAAGGACATTTGCCAGCAGGTCCAAACTCCCTGCAAGTCAACCTGCAAGAAAATGGAGCAGACACATCTTCCCTAGCAGTGCCAGAATCAGTGCAGGTCCCCTGGCATCACTCTCCAGCCTGTTCACAGTTAGATCCCATTTAAGAAAAAATCAGAATATTTTGTTGCTAAACAGAGGACTGAAGGCTGTTACGCAAATCATTTTTATCCTGATGCACAGGAAAATGACTGAATTAGAGCAATAGGATTAGATGCTAAATTGTCAATACAAAAGCTCAACTTAGACTATAGTAAAAATAAAAAAAAAAAAAAAGGGCTGAGAGTGGAATTTTTGGTCTACCAGTCAAACATTTCAAGGAATGACATTTTCTCTTTCTGTGGAAAATTCCCCTCGAGGATGATAATGGACTAATTAAGGCAATTAAGGGTGAAGGCATCAGGAGCTTCTCTATAAATCACAGAAAAAAAAGTCGCCAAGGCACTGAGCCCTCTGCTTCCCTGAGCCCGCGTTGACTGTAGCGTGAGGGGAGCCACACTCAGGCCTCCTCTCCCTGCTGGGTCCTGTCTTACCCCAGCTGGGTGAATGGAGCTGTCACCTCCTGTCTTACAAGATGACCAGCCCCAGGCTCCATGCCATGCCAGAGTGGGGCCAGTGCAGGGCTCCCCTCTGCAGGAGGCATCTGTGGCACTTTGGTCTGCAAGTCCAGTGAGGAGCCCTCTCTCACTCTTCTAGCCCTACAGAGGAAACAAAAATGTTTTTCTGTGGTGTTACATGTGCTTCTCTCCAGCTCATCATGTAGTCCTTTCTTTCCCTTTCTGTTCTCCCTATCTGCAGAGCAAGCCCAGACTGCCTGGGATCAGACAGTTTCATCTTCAAGCAAATAAAGACCAGTGGAACTTCCTGGTTGTTAAAAGTACAGTGCAAGTAGCACTAAGCTCTGATATGGCAATTTCTGTCTGAAACAATTTAGCTTTGATCTCTGGATGCAGTTAATTGCTAGCTATGCAGACATTTGTGGAGGAAAAAATAACCACAAGCAATTTCAGAAGCAAGGTGCTTGATGCTTAATCTTGCACCTGTCCTAAGAACTGAAATGAGCTTTTCTTAGTCAGGATCATGCTGCACAGAACTGCAGATCAGCCAAAGGCAGAACATTTCAAATGTCAAATTGATGCAAATCTACTGTTCTCCTACATGATAAAAAGAGAAAGTCACTGTGATAAAAACAATAAAGTGTTCCATTCAATATATTTGCATTAACAACATTCTTCATATCTTGAAAATAAAGCAATAAATGATATAATTGGGGAAAACAGCTACATTCATTCTTCATTTTGGTCATTATTTTTTTCTTGTTGTGGACAATTCTAGGACAGCAGAGAGCCAAGTCTTACTTCTCCAGGGAAAAAAAAAAAAAAAGTGTTATTTTCAGACAGGGAAGGGAGTAAGATAAGACAGTACAACTTTAAGTATACCTAATCAAGGTTCAAATACCAGCACATAAAACAAGTCCTGGCAAAAAACCCTCTGACTAGCAGCTGGGTAGGTGTGTCTCAACCGTAACTGCCCAGCTACACATGTAAGCTGTGACAGACATCCTGCTACCCACCACCAATTTGCTTCTGTTCTCCTGGGTGTAATAACTCATCTCAAACTCTTGCAAGCCTGGTAACGTGGGATTGACTTGAGAAATGTCATACCAAAGTTCCATTTAGCCCAAAAAACAGAGCCATCCAAGACTTGCAGTGTGGGTTTCAGAGGGGCTATGTGAAACAAGGCAAGTGCCTTTCCCTCGCCCCTTTGCTGCTGCTAGTCTGGGACACAGCTGTGCCAGCAGGTGTAGCCATGCTGCCTGGTTTAACTTGCTCCCCACAGTCTTCATCCTTCAGATTACCTGCTCCCCGATACCCCATTGGTACTCTGGCATCCCCAGTATGCAGAAGCAAAACTCCTATTCTGCACCACAGGAAAAAGCACTTCTCTGCCTCCACTCCAAATCCAACAGCCAGCTTGCCCACTGAGTAGTGCTTGGATGCTTTTAGCAAACATTCTGCAATGATTCAGGCTGTCGTTCACTTTTCCCTGAGCTAAGAGATCATGATTTTATATAAGTAGTCACTTTTCCCCTAACACAGAATTTTGTTATAGCACAGTGAACAATTTCAGCAGTTTTTCAGAGTCAAGACTAGTTTTGGTTATCCTATATTTCATCAGTTGTAAACATTGTCACTATTTGCTTGCACCACCTTCTCCAGGCCTCTTAGGAGGATGCTGAACACCACACCCAGATCTTGTGTCTATTGGACCTCCTGTTGATGTATGAGGTGCCTGTTTCTTCCAACCCTCCCTTTTCTGGGGGCTAACCCATAAGTAACTTTTTCTGTTCCTGATAGTAAGTGTCACTTGTTATGAGCCATGGCTTCCCTAAGCTTCTGTTGAAAGCTACATAGCCTGAACAAGCACAATATGTCTGCTCATGGTGTCCTTCCAAGAGTTCTTATGGCTTTCAAGCCTGACCTTCCTCTCCAAACCCATGTTTCTTCTCAAACCTCTAACCAAATCTGACCACTGCAAATGAAATCTTTGACTGACCATTACTTTTCAGGACCACTCCTGAAGTGCTGTTCAAAACTTGGCATCATGTTCCCACTTGAATCCCTCTAAACCCAGAGCTGATAGTAGTGCCAGATCACACATAGTTAGCAATTCAGAAAATTCTTATTTGTGGTGTGTGTTTTTCCAGGACTCCTGTGTAAACACCATCTGGTGCTGAGAATTTGTTAATGTTTAGTTTATCAATTTGTCCTAACATGCTTTTTCCCACCACCTCCATTTGAGGTGGTTCCTCTGACTCCCTCCCCATTTATGGTGTCACTATCACAGTGAATGCCAATGCATGCAAAAAATTTGTTCAGATTTTTGACAATGCCACTGCTGTCTGCCAGTGGATCTTTTTACACAGGGGTCATTTATTGGCCCCAGTAGCTCCTCATCATCTCTATGAACCATGGACAGGTGCTGCACAGACAAACTGTTCATATTAATATTTATACATCAGATAAACTTTAAATGCATCTGCACTTCAAATACATGCTGCTAAGTTTACTATGAAAAAATTCAGACGGAAAACACCAAATGTGATCTTGGTACACATCCAAATATAAATGTGAATTCGTTTGAGTATTTCCCAAACAGAAGCAATTTTTATCTTAGGGATCTTCCAAAACTAACTGCTACACAAGCACACTGTGTAGCCTCCAGTCATGTCAAACATTTTTTATCACCAGAGATGAATGAGGCCTGGAACAACACCTGTCTTTGTGTTAAATGTTCCACTGAATACCTGAAAGTACTCTACTGGAGAGACAGAAACCAAATACAAGATGACCCTTGCCTGGCCAGCACAGTGCTTTTGAAGTCCCTCTTCATGTGGAGAGTTGTTAAGAAGATTTATGTGAAGTTGCTCATGAAAATTCATAACTAGTGTTTCAGCAGTGGAAGATAAAATATTTATTAAAAGTAGTGGATTGAAGACAAAAGCCTTGCAATCAGTTTACTATACATAAAATGAGTAATAAAGGTTTAACATTTATTTAACAATCCCAGCTGAAGCCCTTAGAAAAAGTGAAGCTGGCGATAAGGGGTAGCAGCTTCTACAGCACTGAATGAAAGACAAGAGAGCACCTTCAGTGCAAGTGAAAGTGAGACGAGGAGAATGATTTTTAAGGGAAATTATTAATCTTTCACTTTAGTGGGCATTTGATTAAATATTCAAGGTAGAAGAACAACATCTAAAACCACAAAACCTTGTTTTGCAACAGCTTCCAAGCTCTCACTGTTCCTTCTATGAAAATGGTTTGATTTTATATTATTGGGGCTTTCATTTTGGGTTTGGTTTTTCTTTTTTGGCTTTTTTATTTTTCCTGAATTAAAGATGACATAAATACATTTAAGTGTAGAGGTGTGGAAAGAACAGAAAGAGCTTTATTTGGTTACTAGCATTGCTTTTTGTTCTTCTGCTCTTCACCTGATCCAGGAGGTAAGGAAAGCAATCAAAACAATGAGGAATATGCTCTTGGTCCCACAGCAAATTGGCCTCTTGTAGCAGGCAAATTAATTGGGATGCTATTCAGAGCTGAAATATATCACTGTGTATTCATCAGCACTGAGCATGGTGACACATAAAGAGCATTACTCACATAGACACAATAAGGATAATAAAACAGCAACACACGTCTGATAACAAAAAAGCAACACTTTCAAGCTTATCTGTCAGACTTCTCATGTACTTGAAGTGAGGAGAAGGGGGAAGGAAACCAGGGGAACCTGAAATAGCATAGTGTCATGTGGGAAGGTAATATCATCACAGAGCTCTGAGCAGCGGAGACAGATATTTAAAATTCTTTTTCATTAAAGAATATTTTTAGATGCTTGGCTATTTCCCTTCTTCTTTCTGTTTTCTGGGTATCATTTTAATGAATATGTATATTCCTGAATATTTTATTTATATATGTTCCCTCCTTCTTCATCGTAATTCTACTGTTACTAAGTGACAAGGCTGTGCTGTTGCTATGTTTTTTTCCTCAATAATTCTGCTCATTTGATGCTGCCGTTCTTCTCCCTATACGAGCAGGCGTCAGCCAACAATGGGGAGAAACAGCTGGCTTGTTTCAAGGTCCCAGATTTTACTGCTGTTGGTAATGGCACAAGTTATGCTGAGCTCACAGATGAGTGGCCCTCTGAAACTTTCTTACTATTGCTATAGCACAAGCTGCAGCCTCCTGCCAAAGGCAGTTCCACTTTGCCAAAGGCAACCAAACCAAACAAACCAAACTAAAGAGCTGAGTGACCTGCTAGACTGCTAGGAGACCTCGCCTGCAAGCAAATCCATCTGCAGGCACTCAGCCACTTGAGTCATGGGACTCTGAATTCAGGCATCCCACCAGAGCCCACCTGAAGTCTCACACACAGAATTTAAATGAACAAAGAGGTTACTTATCCACAAACAACCCCGCTACAGATATCTATTGTGCTGGAAAAACAAATGCATATTCATAGGGGCATTTGCTCCAGGTGAAGTAATGCAGTGATGTACAGCAGGAGCTGTAATGCCAGCTGGGCAGCACTTTGTACAGATCCCACCTCACTGCCCAGCCCAGTGCATGCTCAGGAAAAGATAACATCAGTGATAAGGACCTCCTGAGGGGCACAGCCAGCCCCTTTGGTGATGCAGAGATGCTGGGCCTTTGAGGCTCACTGCAGGGAAAGGCAAACTTCAAAGAATGTGCATTTAAAGGCCAGAGAGACCATAATAAAATAGAGTGTGATCTTCCAAACACCCTGGAAATATTGCTTCACCCACCAATTCCTACTCCAAATCTATCTGGATGTTTTCAAATTATGATGACCTTGATACTATATTGCAATCTGGCTATAACATCAAAATATAGCTCCGCATTTATAAAAGCTTACACTGTAGTATTAATCAGTTTATTTTTTACTAAATACATTCACACTTCTTTCTCACACATTTCAAATTTTAGTTAACAACAACCAGTAGTTTAATTTAAAACATAAAAGATATCCTGTGTTATGCAAACACAACCAGGGAAATAAAATAGGCCCACTTGTTTGCTTTCCTGCTGTGATTTGAAAAGCAGATGATCTGTTTTTTTTACAATTGCTTTAAGACCATAGCTTTGTCAGCCAGGCTCCTGATCTGAGCCAATTTTTCCAGTTGATTTGCAGACCCCTTGAAATGGGTGTTTCTAATCCTGTTGTAAACACAGACATGACAGATACCATCCTAGCAGATCCCTCTCAAGCTACAATGTCTATTGCAGCTGCAAGAGACGTCCTGGGGCAAGGCTCGTCTCCCTCATCCCACAGCATAATCCCAGGTTTTCACACAGTAAACTTTTGTATCCGAGCCCAACAGTCTGTTCACTAAAAGACTAGACCTCATTTTCCCAAGCTGTCTTGCATTCCTGTTATTTTTCTACCCCTGAAGAAAGCTGGTTTGCCACTAGTTACCCTTCCCTCCCCTGTTCCACTCCCCAGTTCCCTCACCAAGAACCACTGTAACAGACCTTTCAGGCCCTATCTGCTCTATTTTAGCATGGTTAGCAATTAATTTAAGTAGGAAAAATAGGGAGCCAAAATTCACTGATGCAGACATAGAGATTTCCAGTGTGGAAACAACAAACTCACCTTGTTTCCCCTTCAAGTTTGATTATTGGCATGTTTAATTTTAAACAAATATATCTCATGCTGAGTGTATAGTCGGCTTGAAATCGGAACTGGTGTCAAGAGGTTCAATGGCAATAAGTAGCACATTTTCCTCAGCTTCCTTCAAAAAATAATTGGTTTTGGTCTGAGAACTCTAAAATTAATTTGGTTGCTCATCCAGTGAGATCTCACTCATGCAAAGGTTTGTTTCTGCTTGAAAACCACACTGAATATAGGTACTTATGAATGAAGCAGCAGTGGAGCATGGTCAATTTAGTACTATAAATTATGCAGCCTTGTTGTGGTGTGCTTTTAGAGTTCAGGTTCGCCCCCTATTCTCCTCCCTAATCTCCTCCTCTCCCCAGTTGTCAATCTTCCCGAGCTCTTCCCTAACCTCCTCCCCTCCAAGTTGTCAATCCTCCCTTTCCCTGCCCCTTCCCTAGAACATTCCCTGTCACTCCTTCTAGTCCCCTCCCCTTCTTCCAGAGTGGTCCCTGTCCATTTAGCTACACTCAACACCCTAATGGTTACTTTGTGTTATACCACTCCCCTATTTCCCCTGACAGGTTTATGATCTGTTAGTCCTGCCTTAGACCCCTCCCCAGGTCTACCCTTATTGGTTATTGTTCCTACTCCCCTCCTCCTGAGTTCCTGTATAAAACCTTTGTTTGCCCTCTCAAGCTGCTCTTGGGCTCCACCTAATAAACCTGCTCTGGAAGGCCCTTGTTCTGTGTCATTGTTATCTGTCCTTGCGCCAGACCCGCAGTTACCAGGAATTGCAGAGCTCGCAGGGTCGTGCCCCTGCCACAGCTGCCCCGCACGGCGCACTGCAACACAGCCTTTCACTTTCCTATCAAGCTGAAGAATGCTTCAAGTTTTGTAAGTTTTCCTCTCAAAACACCCTATATTCTGTTTCTTCACAAAGTGATCCTATACAGAGTTCATCTAGCACTGTTTTTAAGAAGAGTACCAACTGTTGTCCAGAACAAAGCAACAAATTTACAGCAATTTTTAGCAAAGGAGAAGTCTAATTAGCTATTTCTCAGCTTCAGTCTTGACAATATGTACATGACCTGTTTATCCCATATTTGCCAGGCTTTATCACCAGGCTCATTACCAAGGTATAATAGCATCTGGCAGTCCCAGGCCCACCTACAGGTTGGGTGGAGAAGTAATTAAGAACAGCCCTGCAAACAAGGACTTGGGGTTGCTAGTGGATGAGGGCCTGAGGGGCAGCCCAGAGAGCCTGGAAAACCAAACGTGTACTGGGCTGCATCCAAAGCAGTATGGCCAGCAAGGCTATGGAGGAGATTCTGCCCCTCTGCTCTGCTCTGCTCTGCTCTGCTCTGCTCTGCTCTGCTCTGCTCTGCTCTGCTCTGCTCTGGTGAGACCCCACTGCAGTGCTGTGTTCAGTTCTGGTGTCCCAAACATAAGGAGGACGTGGAACTGTAGGAGCAAGTCCAGAGGAAGGTCATGAAGTCAATAAAGGGACAGGAGCACGGCCCCTACAAAGCCAGGCTGAGACAGTTGGGGCTGTCCAGCCTGGGGAAGGGAAGAGTGTGTGGAGACCTCATGGACCTTGCAGGATCTGAAGGGGCCTGCAGGGAAGCTGGAGAGGGACTCTTCATCAGGAACTGCAGTGACTTGACAAGGAATAATGGGTACAAACTGAAAGAGGGGAAGTTTAGGTTAGATATTAAGAAGCAATTTCTTTACTGTGAGGGGGTAGGACACTGGTACAGGTCACCCAGAGAAGCTGTGGACACCTCTGGCAGTGTTCAAGGCCAGGCTGGATGGAGCTGTGAACAACCGTGTCTATTGTGAGGTCTTCCTGTCATTGGCAGAGGTATTGGAACATAGTGATCTTTAAGGTCCCTCCCAACCATCCCATGATTCTATGACGAATGATAAGAACAAATATAAAGACTGCTCAATTCAGATGTAATACTCAGCACTATATTTATGGCTTAAATAAACTACCAGCAAAATTACAATTAAGTTTTGACAGAAGCATTTGCATAGAATAGTAAATAAAAAAATCACTTACTAAACCTTAGCTTTTTAAATGATGACAAAATGACAATTAAGAATGACCTAATATGAATATTTTATTAGGCTTAATAAAATGTAAAGTCAAGACTAATTCCAAAAACTAATTCCAAGGACTAACTTATTTTTTGACCACTTTGCTTGATTGTCAGGGGGAAAAAACCCTACAACTGTTTTACAGTCCATTGCTGAAAATAAATTGGAGCTAACTGCTTCTTTTCAGGAAAGCCACAGTGCCAGATTAGCACACAAAACATATTTTTAAGGTATTTTAATTTTTTTTTTCCTGAGGAATAGTAAAATAACTTGGATTAATATAATTACTATGCAAGAGGCAGCACTTTGAGCTACACATACAGGGAAAAAGAGCACTTTTTTTCCAGTTGTCATTGCCAGCAGCCCTACCCAATCCAGTTTTGAAGTCTAATTTGGAAATTTTTCCCAGGGTACCAGCCTGTGGTTTCCTTTTTTCTGGAGCATCCCATGGCCCCATAGCTCTATGGAAACAATGATACATTTGTGCTCCCCAGTGATCACCACTGTTGCAGAATGGATGTGAGCAGGGGAATGACACTTCAGTTGAGCGTAGGAGAGAGGAGGGAGCCCACATTGCTGAAGTCCAGGCTGGAGTCTGGTCCCTAAGGACTGAACAGGGTGTTGGTGGGTCAGAGGACAGAGCATGAACCCAGCACAGGTCAAATATCCACTTCTGCTTGTAGATCACATGTGTTTTGGAGGCAGAGTGACCACTGAAAAACAGAGGTTGCTATTAAATGTATTGCTGTCTTTTGTTTCAACTTCTGAGTCAGGCTAATTACAGCTGCTCTTACCCAAGACTGACCTCTTCCACTCTTTCTGGCTGCCCCAAATTAATAAAGACTATCTTGGAGTTTCCCTCTTTGAAAACTGAGGAGTTCCATCATGCAAGCAAATTCATATTTGAGACAAGACATGCAAGGAAGATGGAGAGTCTTCTTACTGATCAGGGACATGCAGGAATGGGTCACGATGGGAAAGATGTCACACTGTTCTGCTGGCATCTCACTTACAGCTTTCAGGGAATGCTCATACCAGCGACAATGTCCGGCCAGCCAAGTCTGGGAACTGAGTTCCAGTTTGAGAGGATTAGCAAGCACTAATGGTCCTTACCTAAAAAACACCAGAGACCAGCAGTCAGGTCTTTGGCAGTTACCTCCCTGTGTCTGGGCAGCTGTTATTCCTGAGGGAGAAAATGCATGTCTTTCTTCCAAATCATCATGTGTTCCATGAGTGAGAAATTATGATGAAGTTCCACATTGAAAACTGACTGCAAATGCAGCACCTTTGCACATAACCTGCTTAGTCTGTGAATTGTCACTTTTGCTGATTTCAGGTGACTGAAATAGATTTTTACTACCTTCTACTTTCTAGTTGCATAAAACTGACATCATTGAGAGCAAGAGAAAGAGAATAACGTTTTCTGTATTTCATCAGCTGTCACATTTCCTTTACCAGGGACAGTGCAGAATGATGCAGAAGACATGGCTTCATGTATGGATCCCAATCAGTTATGAAAAACAATAAACACAGACCCCTATACCACACTTTCTCCTGGGTTATTTTTCAGAGCAGAGCCACTCTACTGCTTTATAAAACTACTTCCTGAAGACTGCATTTCTGCAGCAGCACAGCTATTTTTAGCAACCAGACAACCTTTTTTTTGTAGGTTGGAACCACCAACCTACAGAAAGAGCTGTGAAGTACATCAATACCAGCTTATCTGACATCCTCAACTTTGACTCTGTAGCTGTGCTACCAAAGGGTCTTTTAGTCTATCTGATCTCTCAGAGAAAATCCCAAACAATTAATTTCTAGTGGAATGGTTCCTCCAACACCATTCAGCAGCCTTGGCACAGAGCTACCATAGAAGAACTACTTGATGAATACAAAACATCTCAGCAGACAGGCTTTCAGTAAGAGATGAAGGAATGAAGTCTGGGGGAAGGAAGGTCTGACAATGTCTTTGTCATCACACAGCCATGTCATGTCACCAACTTGGCCCAAGTAGAGCTCCAGGCTCTGTGTATATGCCCTGGCAGCAGAAATGGGACTGGTTCTGTTTGCTTCTTTTTAGTGCAGGGTTATTTGTATGCATTGACAGATCTTCAGGTATAACAAGGCAATGAGCAAGCAGAGAACAGATGATGATTTTGTGCTGTGCAAGGAAATATGGTGAACAAAGACCAGTGAGCATATAAATCTCCACCTGGTCAATTATGAAGTTAACACCTTTATCTATCATTGTTACCCAGAGGAGGGAAACGTCCAGATCTCTGGCAGTTTTGCTGCAGCACCAGCTACAAGACATGCCAATGCCTCTAATTGCTGAAAACCTTGTTGTGGTGATGAAGTCAATGCTTTATCTTCACTCTCAGTAACAGCCAGAATACTGATTTAAAGCCAGTGTCTTTCCTCATGGAGACACATGGTCCTGCAGTAACTGGCTTAATCAGGACTCTGATATATGTGGTCATGGATCAAGTCCTTTCTAACTCTTTACACACCCAATACTCAAAATACAGATGCCCATCATTTGAAAGCTTAAAAACATTTTTGCCAGATTCGTCACCTGGGGCAAATTATTTCCAAGTCCCTAAGCTAGGAGCCAGAACAGCTGTTGTTGGCACCAGTGTCAGTATAATACAAGTCAGTATTTCAAGCCATGGCCACTGCTCTCAGCCTTGTGCCAAACTCTGCAGCAGCTGTGTCTGAGGGAAGTGATGCCAGTCCATCCATGCCCTCCCCAGCATACTCGGAGAGGTAGTGAGGGAGAAAGAGAAATAAATACTTTCCTCTCACTTCTTGTCTTTCCTTCACAATGGGGTGAGGCCTCCTCAAGGCACCTGGACAAGCTACTCCTCTGCTCAGGAGCTTCTAGGGAAGCTTCAAAAACTTCATGACCAGGGAGAGGGATCTTGCTACACATTTTGGGATAGGAAGATATACAAGCTTCCAAAGCCAATGGCTGTCCACTGTGGTGTTAGGTGGAACAGATGGCAGCTCCACAGTGCAGCCTGGCCTTGCCACCAGCAGGGCAATGTATCTCCTGCACATATCCCAGGTCGAAGCACCCTGGACATTACCTCCCAAGAGCACTTCCCAAACACAACCAGTAACTAGCAAAGTTTCTGTGGAAGCAAACTCCTGGTTTGGATATTGTGGGATGGACTGCAAAGCCATGACCAGCAAAGCTGGCACCTACTTTTCAGGATTTGAATAAGAACTGTCTCCATACTGTTTCTTCTGCTCAACACTTTGTGGCTTGAATTTTTATTGGGTAGATTGAGTCTTTTACCAAATACTCTATGATGTTTGTGAACTAATTTGGGAAAATGAAGGCCATATTCCAAGGACAGTTTTTAGTTCATTTTCGTTTCATCCAGGTGCAGAGACAGGAGGGATAGGTAAGGTGCAGATCTTAAAGAAAGGGGTAATAGGTAGTGCTGAAGCAACAGTGGAGAAATTACAAGTAATGATGTCACAAATTAATAGTTTAGAGTTACTCAAGGAATCACCATCAAAGATATTGGCAAATATAGATTTAATACGTCTTTATAAAAATGTGCATTAACAGATTCAGTGGTGAGGTTCACTCTATTACCTACTACATGGACAAAACATACAAAGGCAAATTAAGTTAGAATCTATTTAGAATGACAGAGACCAAAGATCCAACAGAGTATGGGAGCTCCTCCCCTTGAGTTGTGAGGCTCAGAGCCCCCTTGCTTTCTAAACTCATGATGAAGCCTAGCTGCACCTAGGGCCAATCTTAGTCTCAGACTTGTACAATTGTTTGTAACAAAGAAATCAATTTGTTTGTAAAGGAATCAATTACATTATTGCATTAGTATTAATTTAGCATGCTGTCAGCTATTTACAGAGGATTTGTTGCAAAGAAGGTATCTCTCTGCCTTGGGTAAGGAAGGATGTCTTGATCTCAGGTAAAGAATCTCAAACTTCGAGAGGCATCCCAACTCCAGTGGAGATCACACTTCTGCAGCCACACTGCCTAGCAGGAAGAGCTCAATTAGGGTGTCATATTTATGGGATAAAGCAGTTAGCCCACAGTTCAAGTGCATACAGTGAGAAAGGTAAGCATGAGACTCTTTGTACCCACACATACGTGTCTTGGCAAAACCACTAGCTCTCCTTGCATTAACAGCATGCTTGGTGTTCCAAGTCCACATGCGTCGATGCTCCCTGGGTCATCTGCCCCTTTGTGGTTTCCCTGGGGAGATTCTGCCTTGCACATGGCCCAGGTCTTTACCTTCTTTGGAGTTTTTACCAGACTACTGCTAGTTTGGTTGGGGAGGTTGAGTGCATCCACCACAAGTGAATACTCTGAGTCTGTCAATTTGTCACATCTGTCTAGTTTGTCAATTTGTGCAAATCAACATCAGTGAAGCCGAGTAAGCTTCATCCACTGAGGAGCTGACCCGTTACTGCAGACATTTCCTGGTTCTCAGCTGCCATGGGGACGAAACCGCAGGCTGGTTCTATACCCATCTGAGTGATTGCATTCAAATATTTCCAAATACCTTTAATGTTCCCTTCTTGCTTGTCAGGGTTACATATCCTTGGATAGGATTTCTATAACATGTTTTTAGCATCCTTTTACATACCATTAAAATTGCTTGTAATGTTACAGAGGGCTCTAATTTTGCATCGTTTAAACCAGTCCTAACAGCAGAGCTGTAATATCCTGTGCATCTTGCCTCAAGGCACAATGTAAATGAAAGTAGAGCTAAGAATAGAGCCTTGTGTCTCAGCTGAGGAGAGCAGCATGTGCCTGCCTACATAAGGAGAAGTAGTTTATGTTTCTAATAACACGCAACTTTTTTCTTTTTCTTCTTTTTAGGAAAAAAAAAAGTGAATAGTATCAATGAATTTGAGCTGATCTATTCTCCTTGCCTCATTCCTAAGCAGATGAACTATATATATAAGAAAAGCAGACAATTTCCAAAGGAGAATCTTGTCCTGTTTAAGATATAGTGAATTCAGTCTTCAGACACCATGAAGTCTGAGAGATTTTAAGCTCTGTAAAGTCAGTCAAATAATTATCTCACAAAATGCATTTGTGTAGGTGAAATCCCTCTGGTTTAGTTATTTTCCTGCTATGAAATGGAAAGCTGCTAGCCCCTTGGAAAAAAAAAAGCACAGGGAAACCAGAGAACATCAAGTTTGTGTAAACACTTCTTTCCACTTGTACTCTTCAACTAAGTCTTGGTGATGAAACACCTTAGAAATAAGATTTCTCTCTGACACAGACTTCTCTCCCAGTTGCATGTACAGGCAACCAGAGTGAAACATTAAAATAAGGAAAATTAAACATGTTGCCAAACAGTTGAGTGTTAAACACATCATTAACTGAAAATCTTACACTGAGTTGAAATGCAGAAAATTCAGAAGAACACCCTAATCAAACACTTTTTTTCATTAAGTTCATTAAAAATAGAGTATTACCTGAATTGCAAAGTGACTGTGACATTAACTTGATTTGGTTTTTTTCAGAATATTTTACATTTAGGAGATAAAATCTGGCTGCATGGCCCCGTGGATATGGAACTGGATTAAGAATTAATCTGTTAATTGGCTGGGCAATTGGGCAAAGTACATAATCCCTCTGCATGATTTATATTTCTTCATCCTTAATACAGAGTTTTCATGCACTTCAGCTTTCCTGAACTGTTTTGATTTACACAGATAAAAGGCTTATATTAATTACTATAGATGATACTGAAATGCCATAAAAGCATTGCTTAATGAAATATTGATTTAAAAAATATCAAGTAGGACTAAGTCCTTGCCTTAGATGTTGAGGAAATGCCTGTGAAATGGGAGTCTCAGATCAGTCTCCTCAGAGATAATTCACAGCTCTGAACAGAGGACCAGACAGGAGACTCAGAAGGACTGAGTTGTTCAGTGGAAAAGCTAAGCCCTGGGTCTCCTAAATAATCATCTGGGATTGCCATTGGCAGTCCAACCACAGGCACCTAAGATGCCACCACTGCTCACAGCAAGATCCCTGGTGACACCAGTGTCTTCAGGCTGCTATTTTTCTTAAGTGGAAATGAAACCAAGAGGAGTTGAGGGTATAATTTCAAGTCTTGCAAAAAGCTTCAAATTGTATGTTCTGTCTCTTTCAGTGGAGAGCAGCCAGGACCTGGAGGGGGGAGGGGGGGGGAGCATTTAAACGTTAGTAACTAATGAAGCTGTGTGGAACAGAGAGATCAGAGACAGGAGGAGGCAGTGGTTTCTGATAACTACATTAAGGAATCAACAGAGAGTTGATTATGCCTATATGTGCAGAGACATTTACACTAACCCACAAACACCTACAGTTTAATGCATCATGGGTATCTTAGGTGACAATGGCATGCTGAAACATTTCAATAATGCAGTCAGAAAGTTTAACCATAAAGGCAATGTGACAACAGCCTTATAATTAATATTTTATCATTAAAAGTGCTTGAAAAGAGGTTTAAATGCAATTTGAAGCATCTGAGAGGTGGAAAATCATGTGAGCAGTATGCAATGGGTTAAACTGAATAATTTCACCTTTTATCCTCACAGTGACGAACTGTGACACCTTTATTTTTATTTTCCAATACTACTATTATAGTCCTTCTCTGAATTCTGCCCTTCTTTTCCTCTTATGATTCTGCATTTTTGTCCTTCTTTTTTTATGCTATTTCATGTACTGGATGGCACTGAGATAAAACTGACCACAACCATGTTTCCTGAAAGTACAGTGAATGCTGCCTAAAAGTTTATCAATCTAATATGCTTTTCTTCCCTGCCAGAAAATCACTGGAAAAAGCAGCAAGGAATGAGCATGGCTAGCTCAAATCTGAAGCCCTGAGGCTGCATCTGCTGGTGCATCGCAGGTCACAGAGCCAGCGATACTGGCAGTGCTGTTCATTCACCAGAAAAGAGAAGAGACACGTGTAAAAGCATGCTCTCACCTCTGTCTGCTTCCCAGCCTAGATCTGTGGTTTCTGAAATGAAATTTGGCTGTTGGGGAGGCCAATGGAACAGCACAGCACAGCATGGCCGTTAGCATTTGCAACCCCATGGGGCTGCAGATGAGGCCCTGGAAACCACCCAGGGCTTTGGGCTGCAGAAAGACAGGTGAAGCTCTGAGAAATCCCTTCCTAGACTTCAGTGCAGCCAGGTATTTTATTGCAGGTATAATTTTAATTGCATCCATAATCCCACTGAAGTCTGTCGGGCTATTCACATCTCTCCAATTAGGCACTTTCTGTAGGTACTTTGCTGAATCTGTCCCTGGAAGTTTATAGATTTTTTTTTTAACCATATGTAGACCTCTTACCCCACACAACAGTTGGACAAGTTTAATTAACAACCCAAGTGCCACTTAAGTGACCCAGAAGCACAGTTTAAAGCACAGATGGAAGCCAAGACAGATCAAGTGAAGAAAGATAAAAACTCCAAGAGTAAAACTCTAACCTTGTATCCAAGTGCCTATGCCACATGTATCCCACCCAGCTTCTTAGAGACCCTTGCAGGATTGAGGTGACATTTATCAGGAGCCTAACGTGCTGAGGTTGGGCACATAATAGCAGAGAGCACAGACTGAGATATGAACAAAAAAAGGAGAAAACATTAAACATGAAGTGAATGTCTGGTCAGCCTGGAAAGCCCACCCACAATGTGTTTGAGGGAAGCCTGTGGAAGGCAGGAGCTTGTGGCCACCTGCACAGAGCACATAAGCTTCCAGCCTTTTGCAGCTCTGTGCATGGAATGTTAAGAGGAGCCATTCAATAAAACCAATAATAAAACCCTTGCTGCATTTACTGGCTTATGGAGTGGGGAGTGGGGAAATCTCTCATTCATCTCATCTGCAGCAAGGCATTTCTGGGATTTTGTTGGTGTCAGTAAAAGAGCTGCAGGTACAGAGACTCAAGGCACACTGATTCAAGCGTTCTCTCAGGATCATCTGTGCCATGTGCAAGAGCCACTGATAAAAAGAAATCAAACCCAACAGAGACCAGCTTAGGGTTCAGTTTTGCCTCTTCTGCTGGTATCCAGAGTACAGTCCTGCATCTCTGTGACTGCACTATGCCAGCTATTTCTTTGAGTGGTGGGATCACTGGCCTGTGATCCCACAACTGTCACAACAAAGACAATACAGAAGCATAAATAAAAAATATCTCCACAGAAATAATTTAAAGGGATGATCTAGAAATAGACTGAGTTCTCATCCAGGGCTTCAGTTTTGATAGTGATGGTGGCTTTGATGTGCCTTCTTCAGACTCCATGCTAAATTCATACATCCATCTCATTTTAAAGAGTGGGAGAATTAATCCTGATTTTAGCTCTGTCACTTCAAGGAATGAAGAAGGAAACAGCCCACTAAAATAGACCTGAACTTAACTCATGAGGTGAAAGTCTAATTCTTTACGAGTATCCATTTAGTATCTGGTGAAAGTACAGAATACTCTAGATTCTATCCATCTGATTTTATTGTTCTCTGAACAATGGAGACAAATCTGAAGCTGGATCTATTAAACTCTTCACATAAAAAACAAAAGCTGGGAATCAGCAAAAAAAAAAAAAAAAAAAAAAAAGGAAAGTGTGAAAAGTTTCACTTAAATTTCCTTTTTTTCCCCACTGCAACTTCTCTCCCACTATCACTTCAGTGATTCAATTTCTACTCTACCATCTGTTCTGAGAAGAAACAAATGGAATCTGTCTAATTTCTGGAAATTCTGAAACAACCTGTGTAATCTCATTTCAGCAAAGAATCTGAGTACGAGTCAGCTTTCTGATCTTTATATTTAACAAGAAAATGTAGCTGAGACTGAACAAAAGAATGCTTATAGAACAGAAAGCAAACATCCCAACAGAGTAAACACAGACAAAAAAAAAAAAAAATATATATATAGTCCTTCATTGCTCTGTCTAATGTACTTATGACCTCAAGTGACAGTGTCTCACTCAAGCTGCCAGACTGTGTAAAGAGTCTGAAGGATGTTCACAGCAAAGTTACTAAGAAAGTTCCCTGAAAACTCTGGATTAAAAGTTAAAAAGTGAGTATTGAATCTGTAATCTAACTTGGCAGATTTGAAACCATGTTTTTAACTTTGCTAGCTGCCCATGGGTTACACAGCATGAAAACATCCCTTCCCTTTGGTGGCGAAGGCAAAAGTTCATCATCTTTTCATTGTGATGTTTGGGGGACATGACACATGAGCCTTCTACATGTTCCTGTTCAGTGCTGAGAGGTGCAATTTTATTGACAATGCACATCAGCCCCTCTCCAGAAAAAAAAGTTTTCAAAAAAATAGATTGAGAGGGGGAAAAAAAGCCTTTTGGAAGAACTCATGTACTTTTTCACCTGCATTCCTAACTTAGCTTCTTTCTACATACTAGGTTTACACAGAGGTAGCAGGTAAGAGTGAGAAGAAATAGAGATGTTATTCCTCCCATTAAAGATAAGCATGAGTAGTTATGCAAGCACCCTACAGATTGCTGGTTAAATGTACAGTGACTAACCAGATATCACAGCAAGGAGTCTTTACTTCCAGACACCATATCTGCTGAACATTGCAGACTTATCTTATACTGGTCTATAAAACAGGTAACTGCCTTTCAGATTCCCTGCGAGGAAAAGCACGTTCCATCAGCCCAGGCACCTGGAAATAAAGTCTGGTGGGGACTTCAGTCACTTCTGCTGGAGATTTCTCTTTTGCCTTACAGCCTTAAAATAGATGGTTTCTAAGTCTCTGTCTAGTGTGGGCAAAATCTGGCATGCAGATATATAAACACAGCCAGTGGAAGTCTGAAACATCTGAAGGTTTTCTTCTTTAAGTACATTTTAGAGATATATTTAAAAGTCTTCTGATAGCTGACACACACCTTAGTTATTCTTTGCCATATGTATGGTCCAGACAGAAACGATGACAGTGGTAGTTTTGGAAAAAATAGGTATAGGAGTCACCTTAAGAATGAGCTCTGTGGCAGTTCTTAGCATGACATGATCCTGATGAATAGCACCCAGCTGAAGTTTAGCAGTCAGAGCATTTGCTTCTGCCACTTTCCTCCTGGAAGCTTGACAAATAAGTAAGCAGTCTCAGTTCAAACCAGAATTATTTCTTTTCACAGGAGAGTAGTACCCACAGGCCCCTTTCAGTATCTGGACTGCCTTACTCTTGTCATTGTACAAGCTATCCTATTCAAAAAGTAAAAGAAAGTATAAAAAGTCAGATACAAGTCAGATAAACTCAAGTGCAAATAAAAACTGCTCCACACAGAATACTGAATCCTGCATGACTGACCAGCTATATAAGAAAAGAAAATGGAAATTGTTTTAAAATGACTTGCAAAGTTCTAGAAGGTGAGGCCAGTAGAGGAGCAGAAGAAGAACACAAATGACTTTTATTCTTTCATAGTTCTAAATTAATAAATTAATAATTAATAAAGTTCTAAATTAATAATTTGTCACCACTGGTCTCCAAAAATTTGTAATCTTAAACTATTATTTTAGCTAAAATAATATTCTTGTTTCAACATCTTCCAGACTGCCAAGACTAAGTGAACCCTGTATCAACACAGCAGAGGAAACAATTTCAGAAGAGGGTTCTTATTACATTGCAATAATGAGAAACATCCTTATGGCTCACTGCAGGCCTATTCAGAGCTACCTTTACCTGCTTCTGCTTCTGTTTACACAACTCTGCTGCGAAGCAAAATATATTATCCTGTGTTGATCTTCTGCAGCTCCTTCAGCACCCCACCTAGCCCAGGTATCTCTGCATGTCACTGCTTTGACCTGCCTGTGTTCCCATTTTCTATTTTCATTTGCTGTGGAACTGACATTGGATATCTCTTCCTCAAGAAATCCTATGTGGCAGCACCCCTGGTTCCCTAATGAGGACAAAACTGGATTCAAAAGACATAACAAACACTATTAAAAATAGACTCTACATAACAAATCTGGATCTCAACTGAATTTAAGGGCATAATCTTATTATTCATATTTTAACAATGTAAATTCTTATACAATTATTTTGTTTTACTATCACAATTAGCTACATCTTTAGTATTCACGGAGGGGTATGATTATAAAACAGAAGTCTTGGGAAGTGACTGCTATTCTTTTCAGACATCCACTCTCCAAGAGCCAGCCTGCTTGGTTGATTTCCCTTGAATAGATTATCTATATTAATAACAATTAAAAGATGTACCAAAACACACAAACCCTTTGTTTCCCTTTCAATTTAGGCTCCATTTTAGCTAATGAGACAGACACTGAAGCTGTCCTTTGAATACCGGGCGTTTATGGATCAAAGAATAAAAACTGCCTGGTATGTGAATTTTATTCCTGTCAGAAAATAGATCCTCTTCTTCTTTTTTACTTAAATTACTAGACACCACTGTCACATATTGACTTTTTAAGGTTTTTACAATGGGTTAAGATAACTCCAGAGATGAAGGTTGGTGGAATTCAAAGAAGCAAATAATTTTTCATCTGCCTCCTGCCTCCTGACCATTTAACTTTCTAGACCCAGGGGCTGTGAGCAAGTACTCCCTCTATTTAAGCTGATGTAATACCTTTAGAATGGATCTTTACAGAGGCAGTAGACAGTATTCTGTAATAGTTTAGCTTCTGTCCAATTTATTACTTTTCTGTGACCCTCTTAGATATTGCCAGATCCCTGAAACACTACAGTTCTTTTCCCTTCCTTTCATATATGTGACACTTGATAAATAATTTGATAGCACTTTGTGGTGAAATGAACTCCACTCAGATAAAATTTCTCCATCCTCCCACCTCTGACCCTGGTACCAACTCCAAATCAGCAACAGACCCCAAGGATTAAGGTTATGGATTCATATCAATTTAAAAAGATATAAAAAACAATTTAGGTGAGCACAAGAAACTGTCTGTCCTTCAGAAAAAGACAGAAGCGCCAAAGTTCTTTTATAGACTCCTGAAGCATAAAAGCTATCCCTCTGGGGCATCACATCAGAGGGATGCTTCTTGGCTATCTTCACACTTCATCAGCAAGGCCATATTCTGTAGTGCTGTCCGCAAGTTGTGTGTAACCATGTGTCTACAAATTCAAGATTCAGTTTCGTCCTTTGACTTCATTTGAGGTCTTTACAACAAGGAGAGGCAAAAATCTTTGGGACTGAAATGCCATGTCGCTTTGGTTTAGTTCAAGCAGCCTTTGGCCTCTCTTTTATGAGAAACTCCCTATCACTTTATATCTCTGTAAAGCCTGAAGCTATCTCTTGGGAAAAAGGTGAATTAAGAGCTATATTTATCTTTAGTGGGTAGCACATTTAAAGCAATTCTTCTATGGACTGTGAGAGTAACAGAGCAGTACTAGAGGAGTAAGTATAGTCTAAAATCTGGTATTTAGGATCCTGCAAAAATAGAGCAAACTTCCTAACCATCAGATCAAAGTTAAGAATAAAGGTTGCATAAATAGTTACACTGAAAGCTGGTAAAAAAGCCACAAACAAACAAACAAGGAAGAAAAAAAAAGTCACACACAGAAACAAGGACCCATACCACAAAACAAAACAAAAACACAACAAAGAGAAATGAGGATGGGAAAAAACTCAAATTATACTGTCTGGATGCTAAAAATACCAGATAAGAGAAATAGTTAGGTGAATAAAGGAGGATATACTCACCCATCTCACACTTTCCAACAAAGCAAGAAATCAGAGCCCAAGAGCTGAGATTAACATGGACCTGACAAAAAATCTGATTTGCATCTTGATCCTTATCTACAATAGAGAACTGGGAAACCAGGAAACCTTGGAAGACTACCAAGGAATTTAATCCTCAGATCTGTCACACTATGTGTTCCTGAAAAATAATTCTGATAGAAAATAAGAACTATCTCTGTAAGTGAGTAAGCTGAGAACAAGACAAAGTGAAGACGCAATAAACTCAGGGCTGGTGTAAAGAATATACTAAATTATATGACTTGACTGAAAGAAATTTAGTATCAGAAGCTCTCCATGGGGAACAAGAAGTAGGTGTCAGAGAGCAATCTGAGAAATGGTGACTTGGAAAATGAATTTACCTACAGAATAAACACAGGCTTTTAGTAGGGGTTTAAGCAGGAGTCACAGTACCGTAGTCCACATGGCAGAATCATGCCAGAAACAGCTGAGCCCCATCTGCTTACTCAGCTCTCACCTTTCCACAGCCACTAAGCCCTAAACCGGCTCCTGAAGTGCTACCAACTGAGGCCCTGGGGTCCTGGGACCACCTGGCTTGCCGCAGGGTCAGGTCCTCCAGAAGCCAGATAGCTAGTAAAGAAGGAGCTTCCACCGAAGGCAGGATGTCTCTCAGGCAGCTTTATTCCGTGAGGGTTAAGGTGAGGAAAGGTGAATCGGAGAGTGAAGGAGGAGGGTAGCTAGCTCTGAGAGCCCCGAACACAGGGCAGGGTGAGGAATATAACAGTGGCTGGGTAGGAGGGTCAGGGTAGGACACAACCAATGAGGGAAGGGTCCAGGGGCGGAGTAGAGGGTAAGCGGCGGGGTGACAACCAATGGGAACAAGGGGAAGGAGTGGTTTCAGGGAAGGAACCAATAGGGATACAATGAGCACAGAACTTTCCAGAACTGGGGAGAGGTTTACACAATGACGGACAGGAACGAAGGGAAGGGACAACAAAAGATTGCCAACAGGGGAGGTGGGAAGTTATACATCGGTTGCCTCCCAAGGCAAAGCAGGGGGGCCATCTTCCAAACCCCCTCCCACAACCAACAGCTCATTTGCCACACAGAATGGAGCAGCATTGACCCTTTGAAACCCAAGCAACCACTACACATATCTATATGGTGAATATGGATATAGGTAGCTATGGGTGAAGTCTGGGGAAAAAAAAAAAAAAAAAAAACTGTGGAAAAAGTGGAGGGGGCAAAGATGCAAAGAATGATAAAGTCAGAGCTGATGGGGTGGGAACAAGCTGCTGAAGTGCCCCTAAAAATTTATTATAAATGAGTTATACATTTCCAAATGCCAAAATTACAGTATCCAAAAACTGTCAGGTAAACACTGAGATCACTGAGCTTTTTCAATATTTTCCAAGGAAAAAACTGACCATAAAATTGCTAAATAAGTCTGCAAATGGTTAATTCAATACAGATATATCCCTCTACAGTGGCATGGTGAACCAAGACACATCTGTGTATGTGAATGTACATAACCCTGAGTTCATCTGCCTCTGAGATTAAGAAAAAGGAGTGAAACAAGGAGTGAACAGACTTTGTCTGGGTGGCATTCATATCCCAAGGAACACATTCACATCAAGCTTTGAGTGGTAGGACAATCCCTGAATTTGTGAATGAACTTAGGATACAACTGCACTCAAACCAAAAATTAGTTTCATATCTTCTGCCTTTCTAAGCATGGAAAGGGGATGTGAGTTAAGAGTTGATATCCTGATGACAGGTAAGAGTAGACAAAATTTGAAATAACTTCTGCATAACACTTCCATCCAGCCTACCCACAAAACTAGGCTCAGTTACACTGGAGGGGAACTCTGGGCTCAGCTCCCATACAACTAAGGATTTGCTGAAACTGAGAAAGGCAATACAAGAGTTGGGCTAACTTAGCACACACAAAACTGGAATCCAAGGTCTGAATGGAGGCCTTTTAGGACTGAAGTGCTGGGGTAGTGGCAAAGTACCCTTAGGATATGTTTCCCATCAGAAATTGGAGACAAACTGGATGAAAAACAGTCTTAAGCTCTTAAGCTCACCTTAAGTGACACACATCAAGGGAAACTACTGAGAGACTAATGTAAGTTTGTGCAGTCACACCAATAGGTTTGCAAATATGTACTGGGAGCCAGATCAGGGTTCAATAATGCTTGCAAGCACAGTGACAAAGCGACAATCCAATTGTGTGGATGTGGGCTTTAGATAGTTTTATTTGGCAGCATTTCCAAGGACCTCTGTAGTTTTTGAGCTCATCCTTTTTGTTGCCTATGTTTTTGAGTGCCACTCTTTCTTTCCTTTAGAGCAACAAATATTTTAAATGTGAGTACACACAGACCAGGAATATGGTGGTCTGATGAGATGCTATTAGATGCTTTGCGGCCTAGTCCATTAGAATATTCCAATTCACTTCCGCGTACTTTTTCTTCAGAATTGTTTGTATAATAAAACTGAAGATGTTCTGTGTTCTTATCATTTGCTGATAAGAAAACCATCAGTCTTACAAGCTGAGCAGTCAGTATTTATGTATACCTTGTTTTGATCATGAACTATATCTTTCAGCAGGAAATTAAAATCCCCTGTGGAAGAGTATCAAACACATGCTTACAAAACCCATCAATGGAAAATATAGCTGCTGTCATTTCAGAGGATTTAACTTGACCATGTCATATTAATCACCTCTGAAGTAAACGAATGACTCATAATTGTTTTCCATTACCTTGTGTTTGCTTTTTCAGCATTGCAAAATGCATGGGCCAGGACCATGGATCATAAATCTCATCAGGCTTGTAGACAAGATTCTGAGTGGTTTTTGCCATGCTATGTTTCACGCTGCCCTTCTGATTATAAGTTTCAAATACTTGTATTTCTGAAGCATTAATGTTTTCAACCTTCTGTACTTTTGAACATAATACTCTCATCATTCCTTATAGATAGTAAAATGAATTTATAAGGCTATTCCACATTGTCTCAGACATTATTATCAGACCTATTTACTTTCCAATGAAGTGACTGAAAACCACTGTGTACTCACATAAACAGACTGTGGTTACAGATAACAGAAAGATCTTCTTGCTAATGCATCAAAACATCTGTAGAGTAAAAGGTTACACGATCACTTAAAGAAGCAAGGGAAACATTAGTTTTGTAGTAAGACCGATTATCTAATAAAGGTGGATTAGATATGTGCCCCATGTGTCTAAATGTCCAGCGATGTTTTCCTTTCCTTCCCTTTCCTGAACTAAACTGAACTGAATTGTACTGAACTTTCCTCTTTTCTGTATTTTACTGTTTTTTGATCTTCTCAGTTGTTTAGCTGGTTTATTTCACCACTTCCCCATATTACCAGTAGTGACCTTGAGTGTCACTGTGATGAATAGTGCAATTTTATACAGTCTAACCTATTTGTGGATGATTTTTATTGACTTTAAGGTTTGTACTAAGTTCTTCAAAAGTGCACACCAGCAGAGGACTGTTGACAGAAAAATGGCAACTCCTGACCCTTCTTTTGAAAAGTAGACATATGTAGCAAATAGGGAAAGAACATGGCAAAACATTACTTTCAACTTAAAGAGTGTAGGGAAAATTGTGACCAAAACCAGTTAGCTCAGTGAGCTAAGGTAAAATCAATAAAAGATAGAATCTATCAGCAAAGAAGTCAAAGAAGAAACTGGTGAGTTTGGAGGAAGGTTTTCACAAAATCCAAAGGAGAACCAGAATTCCAGTTCATGATTTAGTGGGATGCATAATTTTTATGACTGGGGCTTATAACTGTCCTCAGAGATCATGTTTATGTAATCTGATGGATTAAAAACTAGTGACTACAGATAGGTATCTGCATCTTTCAGATAATGTGCTGTTAGCATGATGCATAATAGCAGGATTTCGGCTAACTTGTACCTGGGCAGAGGCATGGACAACTATTCAATTTATACTAAGCTAATATAAATCTATGGAAATCAACTCCTTTTTTGTTGTTTTTTTTTTGGTTTTTTTTCCTCCAAGCAGGCTCTTCTAGAAAACAAAGTGTCTTAAAAGCTTATGTCCATATACCAGGGGATTACTGCTGTGCTGTATTCCCAGACTGGGTGAAAAATCGGCTTTTAAATACAGGAGAAATATAAGTAGAAAGGGAGAAGAGATTATGCAACAAAATCCATAGAATCTTTGACTGGTCACCAAGTCATCAGAAGTCTTCTGAAAAGATGTGTGCATATATATGTGTGTGTGTGTGTGTGTGTGTATACATACATACATACATACATACATATATATACACACATATATATTGATAGCCAAGAGGTGGAGTAGATCTTCATACAAGTGATAAGAAGATCCCTTGTATCTTTTTATACAAGAGATATGGTTGCTTTATCTGGAGGTTGACAGAACTCTCAAGGGCTGAATTTTCAAGGACTAATACCTTGGATGCAGAAGTGGGCTAACATGGCAGCTGAATGCTCTGTCTGATTTGAAACCACCAAAATCACCTGCCTGAAGATAGTTATGACAACGGGGCTACTCTGGCAAGTAAAAAGTACAGTCATGTCTGCAGCCTGGATTTGATTTAGGCAGGGCTATGAAACGCAGAATAAGGTACCAAGTTCATGCTTTGTGACCTTGCACACTGGAATAAGGTTGATTAATAGGAGATTTCCTTTCTTCCAACATGCTGAAATCAATATACCACTGGGATATGACCTCTTGCTCAGATAATTTTACACATTCACATGCAGACCCATCTGGAAGGAACTCAAGGGTAGATTTTATTCATCTAACATAGTGGTTAAAGCATGAACTTTGCTCCAGGCAGCAGAATAAGCTCCACCTTTGGCTTCTCCTTCATATTGAGTATTTCAACTAAATATTAATTTAGAACTTCTCTGTTCTCAGACACAGAATGGATCTTAAAACTTACCAACTGAAGTTGGTGATACTCGCCCACCCAAAACCTTTTCTATCAACCCTAGCAAACACAGCCTGTTCAGATAGAAGGGCACTAAAATTACTTGAGATGCTTTGCATTCCCATTTGGGTGCTGTTTGCAGAAGCAGTTAAGAGCAGTACTGCCCATCAGTGCTTGAGTTAATTCATGACCTTGTATCTTCTGTCCTGACATAGAGAAGAGCACCCAGACTGTCCTTCTTTTGACTACAGACCCAAAGAAGTCAATCAGTAGGCTGCCAAACAGATTTTAATGGGTAGATGCAGGGGTGACATTTGACATGATATGGGGAGATGCAGCTCAGTTGCAGGAGGACATTAAAAGCACTCCAAGTCACTTACTGGGTACTGCAATGAGGATTACACACAGTCTGTGCTGTTCCAAGTAAGACCTGAGAAAACTTCTCACTTCAAGTATCCTCAGTGACATACTATGTTCTTTTGATTAAAAGAGACTCTGCTTTGCTTATTTGTGTACTTTTTAGTCTTTATATATATATTTTAACTAGGGTGTTTTTTTATTATATCATATATATATTATATATATTTTTATATTTATATATCTCATTATATCTTTTTATTGTATTTTTTTTTATTATTACTGTCAGATTACCTAAGAAACTGGGATCACAGCCATTCATCCTGTCAGACAGTGAGTGAACACAGCTCTGAAGGTATCAGCTCATACTTATAGGTTTCATTTTTTTCTACATTTATCTGAAGTACTTCACTTCCGTTGTCCTAAATCCAATTCCAAAGATATTTTAGTTTGATGCAATCCATACGGATGATGTGGGGAAACAATGATAATTTTATTCAAGTAGGCAGTTTGGCTGCAAAGAATAAATTTTATAATTGATTAGTTGAACACAGAGTTTGTTCCAGAAATGGCCAAATAGTGAATAATACCCCTGAAAGGGAGTATTCTGAAAGGCTGGTCTTGTTTGACTTTTCATACAGATCTTTTCTAGACATTTCTCGAAGTCAGTTTCAAATTTGGGGTGATGAGAAAACCTCAACAAAAGCTCATAGGTAGGATACTACCTGGAACTGTACTGAACACTGACCTGAAAGAGGAGTAGGGATCATCTTGGGAGCCTTGATGAAGCAAGAGAAAGATCCTTTTCTGTTCTTGAGGCCTGTGGTGCCTCTTTCCACACTGTGAATGAGCTAGAAGCAGGAAGAATTTGCTAGGAATTAGAAGAGCAGATGATGGAGATCTACCATCACAAGGCATGGCTCCTGACAGAGATATCAGTGATTTGTCTGATGTGCAAAGCACTACCCTGACCTCATTCCTTACAGAGAGGAGACCTGGGCAGAACTGCAGCTTGCATGAAGAAAATATTCTCATCCCTTCCAGAGTAAAGAGCTAAGCTAACAACACATAGTCTGACTTAAGTTTTTCCCCAATGCAGTCAGCTGTTCTGATGCACTGTTATTCAGGAAAGAGGTAGCGACAATTTAACTGGCAGTCTGAGGTGAAAACAAAGCCGCACAGCCTGAGCTGCCCCAACAGGCTCAACATGGAGGAGTGCAAGGAACAGGAGACATGGTCCTTTCCTCAGTCCCTGGGATTCACTGACCTCACTGACATTCATTCTCTGCTGCTAGCAAGGATATTGGCTATGACAAACACTTTGAAATCAGAAAAAAATACAAGAATGCAAATATTATTTTAAATACTTACTATACAGTTAACGGCATAATTTCTTAAATCAAATAGATTTTTTTCTTTTTTTAACAAAGAAGCATTTCTTAACTCTGGAAGCAGAAAAACAGACAAGTACATGACAGAAAAAGCACAGTGTTCTCATGCTGCAATTTATTAAAGAGCTATTTATTAAAGATGCAATTTAATTAAAGAGCTACCCTACTTACTGAAACCATGGATGAGAACTAAATGAAATAAAGGCAGCTCACCCATATACAGAGCTCTTCATATTAACCCTTGTGGGGATGATCCTTCCAACACAGTGCAGGTGTGAGGAATCTTCTTTGTACTGTCCAGAGAGTGCTGCTTCCTCCTTCCTTCTCTTGTCCTGAATGACCAGAGGGTGAATTCCAAACGAGCTAATCTGCCACTCCAATGTGTCCAGTCCCAGAACTAGTACTCCACAGCCGCCTGTGCTGGCCTATATGGATCTGCACAGCCATCTCCGAGACAGGTACTACATGCATCCACATTTTCTTGAATACATGTTTTATATTACCATAAAGGGGCAATTAATGTTTAACACCAATGAAAAGAAAGTACTTGAAAGTACTCTAAAAAGGTGATCATCTTATTAGAACAGCTGGACAAGACAGTTATGCTTCCAACATGTGTAGGACTCCAAATTGCCTTCCTATGATTTCAATAATTGGAGAAAACATTAGATAACCATGAAATATATTTTGATTTCAATAGAGAAAAGACTAATCCCTCTAAGTGAGAGGAGCAAGTGCTTCCTGGATGCATAGCTGAACACAGATGAACACTATCTGATTTGTAACAGACCAGTAGTTTTTATCTCTTGAAAAATAAAATAACGAGGGGATGAAGGGATGCTCTAAACACTTTATTTCAGTTAAAATCACAGCATATTATTTGGTTTGATCAACAGTTAAGGAGACCAAGGGAAGATCTAACAAAACTGATTAATTTATATGGAAATTAGAAATCAACTTATGCCATTGCAGATAAAAGGATCTTATTAGTTTATCTTAATGAGACACCATCAATAGTGTACCAGTCACAAGCACTGTGGTTTACACACCTACTCAAAATCACTGTTATTCATTTGGGCTCCAAAGAAAAGGAACTTCCACACAGTAAAGTAGCTCAAAACATTACTCATTTTCATTGGTCAAATAAGTTATAAAAGCTTATAACACAAAATGCTGTGATACTTATTTACTGGTCAGCAGACATCACTCAGCTGTGTCATTATTTTACCATAATGTGAGAGAATTCATAATATTTGAAAATATGATATGCCAATTCAGCCAAGGAATGAAATGTTATGGATAATGCTGGAATCAAGAATATGAGAATATGTACAAACGTGAAGGGGTGCTTATACTACTTTATAACAATAACCACTTTTCTTCCTTTGACCAAGGTAAGAATTAGCACGTCAGTAAATTCTTCATGCTTTGGAAGAACAAGACTTCAGAGCCCTTAAAATCAGACTGCAGAAATGAAGCTGCAGGTCATTACTAAAAATTTGTGTGTCAGCAAACCCACAGATTAAAGGAGAATTTGAAAGCCTACTCTGGAGAGCCAAAACAGGTTTGGCAGTTAGTCAAAATTTTAGACAGCAAAGCTATATTTCTATAATTATTGATTTTATTTCAACAAAAATAAAATGCAAAAACTTACAAACATTTTGTATTTGCTTAAAAAACAGGAATTACATGTCTGAGTCTGAACTGGACAAAGATAATATAATGCATTTGTACTCAACAAGCATTAATGTGCCATTAGTGTTGGTTTTCCTCAGTGATGTACAAGTGTTGCTCTTCACCAGTAATTTGGTGGTTTTGAGGCAGTTTGAGAACTGGCTTTCCCTTATGTCCAGAACTCCAAATCTTCACATCAAAATATTACTGTTACACCTGAATCAAAATATTTCCTCTTTTGCCAACAGTCCATTTGAGGCAGACTTTTACATTATAGTTTTGAAAGAAGTATAGTCACAGAAAACGCTGCCTTTGATGTCTGAACAAAGATGAATCAAATTATTTTAAAATGCACTGAAAGATCTGAAAGAAGATTTAATTATTCTTACTCATTCCAATTTCCAGTTTTAGAGTTCAATAAATCTCTGCACATATCTTCCTTCAACACTATGTAAAGCCTTGGTAATTTTAAATCTGGATCATGTCCAAGAATAATAAGGCCAGTATGATAGGATCCTAAACTGGAAAGGGCATGGGATGCATCCCTTTTGTTTTCTGCAGTAAAAAATTTCAAAATTTTTCTCAGGGCTATTCAAAATAGCACTGAGACTCACTGTTCTGTTTTTCACCAGTACCCATAACCAAAGCTTTAACACCTTCAGAATGCATACACCTATCCAGGCTCTCACACCAGCCTGGTGTGGTCATTTTGTGTAGTGTACATGGTGCCTTCCTCCCAGAAGTGTTTT